CCAAATATGATCTATATCCTGTTGAGATATTATACTAATATCTTTGTTTAATGCAATTAATGAGGATGCACGTTTGTCAAAAAAGTGCTGCAGTGAAGATTTGTAGTCTTTCCAGTCTTCAGTTGTGGCTTTTTCGTATAGAAATTTTAAATGAAATTTCTTGTCCTTAGTAGTATTATGAGCCTGGTTCTGCATATTACTTTTACTGTCCAAGTTAATTAAAGTTGTGTTGTGGTCGCTTCTTGTTATGCAGTCCATATCTAGAATTTCTGCTTTATATAGATTTTCCACTAAACTTTCAGAAATCCAAATTTGGTTGATCCGTGTAGCAAAAAATAATTTTTGATAAAATATTTTTTTAATTTTTTTTATTGCAGGTTAGAACTGGATTGAACTCTAGCAACACGACGAATCGCAGGACGCAAAAAGGATAAAGAACATCTTTCTGTTGCACTATGTACAAATGCTAATGGGTCCCACAAGTTACTTCCCCTTATAATTGGCAAATACACTAAACCACGATGCTTCAAAAATGTAAATATTAATAATCTGCCTATGCTGTATAGAAATAATACAAAGGCTTGGATGCTTGTAGTTCTTTTCCAAGAATGGCTTCAGGAGTTTGACTATTAGATATTACGAAAACATAATGGCTATCGTGTTCTTTTACTTCTTGACAATTGCTCTAGTTATAAATTAGATGAGTTAACTCTTCAGCACGTAGATGTTCATTTTTTACCTAAAAACACAACATCAAGACTGCAACCAATAGATACGGGAATCATTATAGCTTTTAAAAAAGCCTATCGTCGGTTTCATCTCCGGTTAGTTAAAATTTATTTTAAAAATTTAATAGTTACTATAGAATTGTCAATTAATTTTGCATGGTCTTATTATTTTTTAAATCTTAGATGGATGTTAGAGCAAATTGAAGTGGGCAATCTCGTTTAAGATCTGAAGATGAATGTTCTACAGGCAATTTTATATATTATAAAGGGTTGGGAAGAAGTTTTAGCTGATACTATATGCAATTGTTGGCATCATACTCAAATTCTTCCACTTAGTGCAGGTCTTTCTGATAATCATTATGAAACTAACAATTCAGGGCTCAGGGATCTTATTAATTCACTTAATATGCTTTGCCTTCCCAATGCTATGGAGGTTGATGAATTTCTTAATATTAGTGGTGAAGATATCATTTATGAAGTTCCCCCGGAAGATCAAGCCATTAAAGAGTTGGCTTATGTGTTCAAAAATGATGAAAGCATTGAAGCTATGGAAGAAGAAGATATGGAAGTAATAGAGGATGATAGTGTAGAACTTGCAATTATCAGTGCTAGTTCAGCATTAAATAGCTTAGAAAACATCCGAATGTTTTTGCTTTAGCAAAAAGGTTCTAACAAGCAATTAAAGTCAATTAATTTCCTTGAAAAATTTATCAGAAGGGCAATGTCAAATTCGGCTCTGCAAACCCGCTTAGATGAGTATTTTAAATAGTACAAACAAGAAAGTAAGTAAATGAAGTTTTTTTAATAAGTTAATTATTACTAAGAAAATTGATAAAAAAATTCCATATTTTTCACAGCTTGGAAAGCTTGCAAAGAACTAATAGTAATGATAATTAAAATTATCTAGCACTGTTGTTATCATATAAATTTCATTTTATGATACTTATAATGATAATTAGCTAATGTCTAAAAACTATATTTTTACAATGTTATAGAATATCAAAAAATAAAGACACAGATGATTATATTTTAGTTACGTGATATGCAGAAATGGATCTTTAAATTGGGAGAAAAAATAGTTATTCATTAACTTGTATCACATTTGATATTCAATTAATTTATTTTGAATAATTTTTTTTATTGGGTTTTACATAGTGGCAATATATTTTAAGACTTTCTCTTATTTCTTTATAATTAACAGGCTAATATTTCTTAGATATCGAATGCTATACATAATTTACATATTTCAATTGCACTAACTCAAAAATTTAGAGTCTAATATGTATAAAATATCTAATAAAAGCTTAAGACCCGGTATACTGTAGTGGTCTATATAGGAATAACAAATGTTTAAACGATTTTAAAAATCACAGTTGATTTAAATCTGTTAAAAAATATTTAATATATTATGACATCTGATTGCAGAATTAAATATATGATACTGCATATGATTACTAAAAAAAATATTACTTTGTTCATAAAAGTCCCTGTTAAAAGAAATCTATAAACTAATCTTGCCAAAAATATAATTATTGCAAAGAAGGCTGTGCTGATTTAGTTGCGATTAAAAGGCCATTATTAAAATGTAAAACTAATATAGAATGAAACTAATTAGACAATATTTTTAGTTTTATAAAAATTTAGAATTAGGGTATCAAGTTTTAAAAAAAAGTTTAAATGCAGTTATTTAAACGCTTTGCACGAGGATAGTAATATTTTATTTATGCGCTAAAAGTATTTTGATTAGTTATAAAATTTGTGTAATATACACCTATAATTCTATAAGTGCATACCCTCTCTAAGTGCATGCCTATGTCTGGTCCCAGAGGGGTGCACTTATGGAGGTCTGACTGTAGTAATCTGAGTCACTTTTTACTATAATCATTCTCTGGTTGACTGGTGAATCACCAATTAATACAATGAATTCATGAAAAGCCATCACTTACTGGCGACTCAGAATTTTTTTCTCCTATGTTCACAATAAATCCAATCCCAAACAAACATAACCCTATCTAAACCTACTTATCACAATAGTCGTTAAATACAGCAACTGAATTTCTTGCAGCCCACCACTATACAGATCACGATAAATCTAATATATAAACACTTAACATTATAGTGAGTAGGTTACAAAATGCAAGTTACAAAATACTTACTGGTACGAAACCGACAAGAAAGAACTGATGAAAGGAGAAATCAAAATGGACGACTCTACGATGATTAGAAAAGAAGTATTTTTGTAGGCATATTCAATTTTTTTTTTGTCAATAGAAATGAGACAAATCTATTAGATAAATTTGTCTCTTTTCTATTGACGCACAATTTGCATATTTGGAATTTTGGTTTGGGATTGGCCGTTTTGCTTCGAATGATGATCAAATTTATGTAATATAAACATAAAAACACGATTATCTCAAAATAATGGTTTATTTGATTTGTTCCTTTTCTATTGATGTCACTCTATATATTAATGAAATTTACTTAAGTTGATTCAAATTTATTTAGGTTGTACAAAAATTGCCAATTATAATTGGTCAAATCTATATTGTTTACAATCCTGATTGGTTGATCACCTGATTTTATATAATTACAATGTGATTACTATTAAAAATAGTTTACATACACCCTACTCTTAAATTTTTAGAATATATAAAATTAAATATGTTAGAATAATGTATTTTTGTGTGCTGAACAAGGTTTATTAGAGCATAAAGTTATAATCAATTAGTAAAATTATGAGAATCTTAATGTTTTGTATAATTTTATTAATAAAAATACTAAAAATGCTATTATTCTCAAATTTTACTAATTAATTCTAACTTTATGCTCCAAATAAACTTGTTTAGCATACAAAAATATATTATTTTGGCATATTTAATTTTATATTTATTAAAAATAGATGTGATAATTTAATTTTTAGCAAATTACTATAAAATTTATATGT